TAGTCCTCCAAGTCAGCGCTGGTCAGGGGCCGTTCCTGGACATGCCACAACATACTAAGGCCTAGCAGATGGAGGTAAAGGTTCTCGCTGCTTATGCCCCGAAACATATCTTCCAACCACTGCTTGACTTGGGGGGGGGGCCCAACCACAGTGACTCGAGTCTGGCCGGAGGCTGTAAACCACTGCTCCAGTTGAATAAAGGTGTTGGTGTGTTCCTCAATGCGCCTGAGGTATAAGCCTCTTTGGCCGAATATGCAGCTCTCCTGGTCCGAATCTATGACCAGTACAAGTGGGGATTCGAAGTTCTCAGTACATCTCCACCAGGCATTCGGGCCGTCAACACCATTGATTCTCATTGCAAATGCTCAAATGTTCCTCCTACTTCAGAATAAGGCAAGTCCAAGCAACTGACTGCAGAATGGAACTCGACATTATTTTTCTAAAAGCCCATATTCTCTCTGCTAAAGGAATCGTGAAATATTGTAAATATTTTTCCTAGAACCTGTGGAATTTCAGATATAATGGGGAAAGGTGCAGATAAAGTCACCTTGTTCCTTGTCAAGGAAAGTGACAACTTGTCCCAACTCATCACCTTTAAATTTTCTTTTTCTTAAGGAAAAAAGCCACAGAGGACAATCCTCTCTGCTCAGGACAGCAAGAACAAGGTATCTGCCTCTGTCCCTTTTTCCATTTTAGGAGCATCTATGGCATCTTAGAGAAACAGGCTGGTCCCAAGCGGTGATGGCTGGTTTGGGAGAAAGGCCTCATTATCTTCCAAGGTCTTCTTGAGACCTCTAAATGTCAAAGTCCATAGCAGGCTCTCTAAAGTCAAGGGTAAGTTTACACAGGTGGTTCACAGGCCAACAACCTGAGACAGGATGCGATACAAACAAGCCCTATTAGAAAAGCTTCTCCTGATGCCAGTGTGACCTTAGAAAAAGGACATTCTTCCATCTGAGTAGCAACATTTGTTCTCTGTGACAAGATAACGCTCACAAAATTCTGTGTGCCTCAACTGTCTGGTTGAGATGAGTATATTATATATTGTTGAGATCTTTGTTGAAGCAAAGTCAGAAGAGTGTAATGAAGTCCCGTTCGTAACCTTTAAGTAAGCTGAGAAGAGACTCGTAGCGAAGGTCTGCAAGGAGAAGACTGAAGAGGAGGCTTTGTGTTGGCTACTCGGCTTTCTGCTACTGCCTTGCTGGGTGTGTTAGCACACACCTGTACTCCCAGCGAAGCACAATTCATAAAAACTCAGAGATAGATATTGGGGTTCAACCTGAAGATCCCAAAAGCAAAGCAGCCAGTCACTGGCCTTGACCTCAGTCCAAAAACAGTAATCCTGCCTCCCTCCAGGAATCTGAGAATGAGCCTGTGTCTGAGAGCTGTCGCCTCCCATTTTATAATTCTCTCTAGTTCTAAGATTCAGGGCGGGCACAACTACCACCTGGTTTCTATGGCAAGCTTGTTACTGGGATTAAAGGTGTGTGTCAGTGTGGCCTGGTCTGTGTGGCTGGCCAGTATGGCTGTTTTACTTTTCTGATCCTCAGGCAAGCTTTATGTATTAAAATACAAACGAAATGCCACCACAGCACAGAGTGCACACTTGTTAACACCCCTGTAAAACCTGAAGCTGCGGCAGTGACTTTAGGTTCACAAACAATTAGCTCTGTTGATTTGTGCCTTTGATGCTGCAGTACACAGGGCAACAGCATTTAGAGGAAAGTTTCTATTTATCTCAAGTCACGGTGCAGAAGAGGAAGAAGAGAGATCGGGGCCCCAGTAACTTGCTTCAAACGCATGTTAATATTTATTCAATCTCAGTATTTGTTTCATTCCGTTTACTAACTCACTAATTGACAAATAGGCCTGGCAGGGAGAGTCTGGTGACAAGAACAGCCTATGTGGTTCCCAGCTGCTGTATATTACTCCTAAATCAGTCTTGTGACGCTCCGGGGGCCGACGTAAAGCCCCCAAAGTACAGGTGCTTCTGTATCCAAAGATTTAAAGACACATCTGGAGTCTCCCAGGTCATGTTTTAATGCAGATAATCATCTGACTGACACCGGCTGACATTTATTGTCTATTTTCAATCCAGATGCCACAGTGGGTTCACTTCAGACAACACAAGGAAACAGATGTCTGGCTGCAATGAAATCCACTTAACATGCATCACAGCATCTCCAGTAACCAAGAGGTGTGGACCATACCTCCCAGACAGAGTCCTGTTGCTATTCCGGCCTCTCCGGGCAAATTTTTTCAGTTCCTCCCTGACTCCAGGGATGTCATTGTCTGGTTGACTCTGACAATCACACACTAGAACAATGAAGCCTGGCATGATGAGAGCCTGGGACACCAGGACTTGGGGAGATCCTCGGCAGGAGGGTCACACATCTGAAGCTAGCTTAAGCTACATAGCAAAACCCTGCAACTAAGAAAGGAAGACTAAGTGGGGAACAAGAAAGAGAATAAAGCAAAGAGGGAGGTGGAGAGAAAAGGGGGCAGGAGGAAGAGCCAGTTTCTCAAATACCCAAGACTGTGTGGCCTGATGGTTAAATCTTGAAGGTTTTTGTGCTAGACTTAGTCTATGACTGCCACCTGTCCACTATGTATTGTGGGCAAGTATACAATCCATCTGTGCCTCTGTCTCCTCAATAGTAAAGGCGAGGTTCTGTGCAGTGGTAGCCCTCAGATGGTTTCTGTGAGGGTGCCATGAGCTGAGCACCAGAGCACTTGCCAAATGTCAAGTGGTCAAAAATAGCACCCGTGGACAACAGACTATTCCAAAGTCGATAGGTGATGAGTATATGACCACCTACGGAACCCGGAAGATCATTTCATACATGATATCCCAGAGTCATACTGGCTCAGTGTCTTGGCTGAGGTCAGCAGCCACACCAGAACCCAGCTCTCTGTCCGTGTCATTGACAAAGCACAAGAACTCAAACCTGACTCTTCACTTAAGTGCATGTGATAGAGCATATCTACCTCAGTAATTGTAATTTTTAAACTTCTAAATATTAGCACAGGAATAGATGATTTTATTAGCAGGATGTTAAAGATCTCTTTTGTGCACACGGGATCTATATGAGAACAGGGCAGGGTTCTAACCATCACACTCCTGTCGAAGACTGCCAAGTAGCCCTTGTTAATGAAAACTAGCCTGGGTAATGTCCCGGGGTACCAGACCACTAGAACAGAGCTGGAAGACATCACTGCATACGTTCACACTGCCAGGTCCTGGTGAGCCATCCAGTCCTGCCCACCCCAGCTGCAGGAGGAGAGCATGTTGGACAAGCCGTGGAGACCCGAGAAATGAACCATTTCACAAACCCTTTAGTTGGCAACTGGTGTCAGCTCAGCTTACCATACCAATCTTCTTCACAAACTCTGCTTCAGTACCTGACAACCCTACCCCTCTAATGGCGCTTGTCCTGTCAACAGAAAGCTTATGCCAGCACCACCCTACACCCGCCCAATGCCCCCAGGATGGCTCCACACGTCCCAGCCACTGTGCTTCTCCCTTTGCTCCTAGATGCTGTCACAGCTCTGTGACTCTTAGCACCACCACCCCTAAAGCAAACTGTCAAAATCCCTTCCCAGTAATGACAGCCGCTCCATGAAACCAACCTGCATTCAGATGCCCTTTTCTACCACCGGCTCTCCAGACTCTTCTACATCTAAGGCCTCCACCAGTCCGTCTTCGCTGTCCATTCTTGATGCTTTTCCTTTTACAGACTCATGTTGAGCCTGGCTAGCAAGTGGTCAGAACTGAATAAACCCTAGTTTCTCAAGAAGTCGGAATGGCACAGAAGATATCCATGTGCAGAAGCTGGCAAGGAGGGCAAGAAAGAAAGAAAACCCAGCAAAGCCACACTATATGCCAGGCTGGCCTAACAGTTAACATATTTTAACTCCGTACTCTAGACACCATCAGTATGCAAGGACTTTATTATCAACACATTACGAAGGATAACGCTGGGGACCAGGTGGGCTGTTTCATCCTAGATCATACTGTGAAGCTGGAAACTGATTTTGATTATCTCTTATTGCCTATTTATAATAATGTCCTGCTAACCCTGCATCCCTAAGTCTACTTTTATTGCTCTTCTTTCGTGGACCAAAACATACCCTACAAGTAATAATTTTTGTATCAAATCCTCGCCCACTGCTTTAAGAGCCAGAAATTAAAGACTGATTTGAGTCAGATCTCCCCCAAGAGTAAACGGCATATAACATAACGTTGACATTCAAAACATCCCTGGGATGGAAGGAATTATAGAAGGCAGAAGAAAAAGGCCTTGGGCCACCCATAGCTCAGCATTTTCCAGCACCTCACTTCTAAATCCTGTCATATAAACTAGAGTCATCTGTAAGTACTCATGTGTAACAACCACTGTGGATATTAGTTTGATAGAATTACAGGTCAAATAAGTAATTACAAGATCACAGACACACAAAGTGGTCCATCACATGTTTAATTATTTTGTTAATAACCATAAAGGAATTTAGGCTTCCCTCTTTGGAAAAATGACATTTGCAATTTCAACTACATTCCAACTTAAATGAAAGATCCAGTAAGTTCTTGGTATGATTCAAGTTTTAAATCATTTGTCAAAAGTTATACTAATTCTGAATACATCAGCATTTTCTCAGTCTTCCCATCAAAATAGTCAGAGAGGATAGTTATAATTTGAAAATGTACACGGCGTCATACAGGAACAGGAGAAGGAAGGACTGACCTTTGGGATGAAGAAAGGTTTACCACAAAACGCCAAACTTCTGTTCTTAAATCTCATACTAACACCACCCTCATAAATGTTAAATAGCAAACAAACAAAAACGTCCACAAAACAAAGAAAGGAACCCTATGCTCCGGCAGTTTCTCCCCTCCTGAGACAGTTTTCTCCCCTTCCCAAAAGAGGTCCCGAAGAAGGGCAAAAGCACAGGCTAGAGATCTCAGCAGGACTAGGATGATGTCCCCTGTCCTCAGGACTTACCCAGCTTGGTCCGTTCTCTCAGCACCCTACTTTCCCCACTGTGACAGTTAGGATCAGACGGCGCCTGGGTTTCTGTTGCTGTTTCTGTTCTTTGGATCGCAAAGCCCCATGAAAGTTAAACAGTGTGGAATGTGATGTGGCCTCGCCTAGCATGGGGAGTGGGGGTAGCGGGAATAAAAAGCTTCAAGCTTGGATTGCCGATTGCTTCTTGGGAAAAAATAAATAAGTAGCAAGTGGCTAGCAGGAGGCGACGTGGGAGACGTGCCTTGCGGATGGCAGGCCGGGAAGGGGCCCACAAACTTTCTCAGCACAGCTGTCCAGATGCGCTTCATCTATTTTCCTGGCGGGGCACTGGCTTGGGCTGCGATTGGCTGTCAAGTCTCCTCCCTGGTCTCCGATTGGTGGAGCAGCCCGCCACTCCTGCGGGCTCTGTCCGCCTCCGCCCACTGGGCCACTCGCATCCTAGAAAGGAACCTAGCTGGGCGCCGCTGTGCAGTCGCTGATGTGGCACTGCGTGGCAGCGGGGGTCTGGGGAGGGGCAGAGGAGAGGTCGCTAGAACTCGGAATTTGTCTCTGTCCTCGCCCCTTGACAGCAGGCCTTGTAAGTGGCTACGTTTGAACAAGGCGATCGCTGTCGTGTTGGGCGACGAGCAAGGCCAGCCATCAGTAGCTTAAGCCGCTGGCATTTCCAAGTGGAAGGGGTTGGAGATGCGCGCTGCCCACACCTCCAATAGGGCGGTCCCGGCCCTCCTCGAGGCTTTCGTAATCTACACTTTCTCAGGGGAGAGAAAAATAGGTGTCAGTAGTACACTGTTTGGGGACAGTATTCTAGTGACGGAATTGTGAATTTTTTTTTATCGAAATCCGAACTCATGAGAAATGTGTTCGTTTCTGTGGAAAAATCCTGGGTGGGTGCTTGAAGGAGTGCTTGGGGTTCATTTACAGTTGAGGTGGCTAGTACCTGCGAAGAGAGAACTCTTATTTTGGCCTGTGAGAACTGTATAATTACGCCAAGGACGTTTTGATTTGGGGGAAGGGGTGGGGAACAGAAGAGATCTGCAATCAGCAGCCACTGGAATGTGGATGTTGACAGAAACTTGATCGCTGAAATAAGAAGTCAAGGACTCCACTCAATGGGCCGAACAGCAGGTCCTGTGCCAGGCCGCTTTTACCTGCATTGTTGTGAATTCCTGCACCCACCTTATAGAGTAGATATCATCTCTATTGTCAGATAAGACCAAAACTCACACTTTATACCAGCATGCCAAGGACGTCTCTAGACAACCTGTGCTGCATTCCTTCACTAGAATATGCAGTAAGCATGTGAACGCGTGGGTCATTTGTCATCAATGTGAGGATAAGGATTTCTTGTGAATGCCTAGTCCTTCTGTGTCTAAAGTTTTTGCTACAACGATTATATTCGGTGGATTCCTGTGTTCACTATCTACTGTTACTTAAGTCAATACTTGAGGCAGCACACACATATATTACTGCACAGTTCTGGATGACACAAGTCCAGGCTCGACTGGATTATCTTCTTTGGGTCTCACAAGAATGCAGATTCAGGTCTGGTGGTGGTGGTGCATGCTTTTAATCCCAGCACTCCGGAGTTAGAGGTTTGAGGCCAGCCTGGTCTACAAGAACTAGTTCCAGGATAGGCAACAAAGCTACACAGAGAAACCCTGTCTCAAAACAAAAGAAAACAAAAGATTGCAAATTTAGGCAACTGCTGGCTTCATTTTCACCTGTAGGTTCCAGGAATGGCATGGGGAGGGGGCAGACTCTCTAGAAGATTCACAACACTTCATCCCTGTAACAGCAAAGGAAACCCACAAAGGAACAGTCCTTTAATGTGGCTGTATGACATCATTTGTGTCTTATGATAGCTTTCTGAATCATTTGTATCAGTCATTAGTTCACCTTCTATGGCGGAAAGTGGCTTTGCAATCACGGTTGATATAGATTTTCATAAATTACCATCTCCAGGCATCGGATTTATTGACTACCAGGACAGGCTCCTTAAGATAAGGATTCCTTCTGTTTGCAGGAATGTAGATTTCAGTTTATCCACAGTTGTGCATAATCAACACTCTTGGACTCACATAGGCTAGCATGGAGACTCTGAAGGGCTGGCAGTAGAAGGTAGCCTCACTGGAAACCTCAGCATTCCAGAGAACACATCATGATGAGGCTGTAAGTTTTACTTTTGATCCATCATCTCAGACTTGAAGCTGCAGATGCTCTTTCTTTTGTCTGAGTCTAGAATGTTCCCCAAAGGACATAGTAAAGCCTGAGAAAGTGGAACCATTGAAGGAAGACCTGATAGAAGTCAGGCCACTGGGGAACACGAGCATGTATCTTCAAGGACACCTTGCCCCCCTCCCCGCCCTTTCTACTCTCTCTCTCTCTCTTTCTCTTCTTACTAGACACAAAAACACTTCCTCTATCAGGTGTTTCAGTCATGATATTCTGCCTCATCACAGGCCGAAAAGTGACTGAGTCATATACCCATGGGCCGAAATCTCCTAAACTGTGAGCCAAGAAAATGTTTAAAAATTCAAAAAATAAATTGTTTATTTTGTCATGGTGGAGGGAATGCTGGCTACAGAGAAAGTAATTAAATATGCAAACAAGTAGAGATATATGGGGGAGGGGCATAGGAAACTTACTATTTGCTACTTCAGTAACCAAGGAAGAGCGAGAGAAGGGGAAGTCTAGAAAAAACTATTTTATACTCCATTTCATAACCACATCACTCCAGCCAAACATTAGCAAAAACCGTGACCTACTGATGTTCACACATCAGCAAAGGCCAGTGGGCAGCCTGCTATTTACTCTTTCCAGTTTATGACGAGGTAAAGATGCCCAAACTCCTTTAACAAAACAGCAGCAAATATAATGCAGAGATAGGCAAAGAGAATCACACAGAAGAACCAAGTGGGATTTTTTCCCAGTGATGCAAGTCCCGTTCTGTACCCCCAAACCAATCAGCATAACCCTGCTATAGGTCATGAAATATCCATGTGTGTAGACAAGCACTTAGCACTATCAAAATTCCAGAGAAATGGGATAAAAAGAGGAACGTTTAAACTTTGATGAGAGGCACGTATGAAAAAGCTCTTCATAGCACGAGCAAGGAACTCAGGACCGCGAGGGGTGCACCCACACACTGAGACAATGGGGATGTTCTATTGGGAACTCACCAAGGCCAGCTGGCCTGGGTCTGAAAAAGCCTGGGTTAAAACCGGTCTCGCTGAACATAGCGGACAATGAGGACTACTGAGACCCCAAGAACAATGGCAATGGGTTTTTGATCCTACTG